GCTGCAAGATCAGAAACTGTGGTTGGAAGGCCTTTGCCCACCTTCAGTGGTGTGCCAGTTGCCACCAACTATGAACTCTGATGCTCTAGCAATATAATTTATGTGCTAGAGTGACCTCTGTGACTATTGTAGTCTATACCTTAGAGGGACTGTTGGATAATTACAATATGTGCTGCGTGGGGTTGCCTTTGAAGTCAACTGCAACTGGAACAGATTGCAATGGCCTGACTACTAGTCAAGGAGACCTACTATTGTAGAATAAAACCCATTTTGCAGTCATTGCCATACGCTTCTGAGCCTAATTCAAAGTGCTGTTTATTACCTATAAAGCCCTACATGGCATGGCACAGGGAAATATTAGGGACCACCTTGACAAATATACCACTATCTGGTCTGGATTTTGAGGGAGGATCTGCTGTGTGTTCCACCCTTACAAGTAGTCAAGGGAACGTGGACTAGAACAGTGTTTCTCAACATCGACAATTTTAGAGTCTAGACTTCAACTCTCAGCATGCTGGCTGGGGAATTCTGGGTGTTGAAGTCCAGGCAGCTTAAAGTTGCTAAGGTTGAGAAATACTGCCCTCACATTAGGGAATATGCTCCTAATACTTGCAAAGGTCCTCCAAACCATTATGTTTTAGAGGCCTTTGGGCCCTGGAGTTATATGTGGCACTTATCTGTTTTGTTTTCTTTTGCTTTCTTTCAGTTCTGTTCTTTTATTATTATTATGAATGATAACAGATTTACTGTTTGGGCTATCTGCTTCTTTATGCTGCTCAGAATCAGCCAGATTAGGGTGGCCCATAAATGCTGTAAAATAATAAATAAATAGCATTGTTAATGCAATCTTTTTCCAGTCATTTTTCTGGGCTAGAAAAACAAGCAGATAATTTTAGTCTTAAAAGTTTCAGGCAGTATAAAGGGTAGGAGAAACAAATTGTATGGAATAATACCAAGTACTTCTTTAGGAGAAAGAACAGGATTTGGGTATTTCTGTCCAGTCATTCATTTTCTGAAATCAGGGACTGAATTTTTTTTTGGCAGCTTCTGTGCCAAACTGTAAGATGCCCTTCTAATATATTCAAAATCAAAACCCAACTTATTCTCTTGGAACAGCTCAAATAATCTAATTCTTAGAGTTGAAGAGAAATGCAAAATAAATGACAATATACCACAACATGCTTTGAGGCAAACAAACTTTGGCCTTGAAAGCCAAATGTATCTTGGGGAGGCCAAAATCCTTTGATATATTTGATATATTTAAAAGACATGATGATCCTCAGACTATTGTTACTGAGTAAATGGAAAACAAGTAGTAAGAAATCATCAGCCTGATAAATGAGGAATAGCAATAACAAAACTAAGAGAAGGAGAAACAGGAAGATGTAACAGTCTTATTCAAGTTTCTAGCTATGTGATCTAGAACATATCCCATATACAGCATAACTCAGATATTCAGATTTAATTTTTATCACCCCAATTGTACACAGTGCAGAAGGAGGAGTCCACCATTTGGTAATATCCTGAACATCAGCAAATAAAATAGACAAAATGTTATTCTTTAAAAGCCTTCTCTGTTTGCCAGGGGCATGGAGCCATATTTGACCATCAGGCTACATAGTCTCCAGAGAAAAGATGCCATGGGATGCATAGTAACTGCGGATGGGTCAATTCTCCTGGCATACATACCACTTGTATACATGAATATGAACACACATATACACACATACATAGAGTGTTACAGCAATTTCTATTTTTGCACTGTTATAAAACTAAAGAGAATAATGAACTGATTCTTCAAAATGCTGTAGTCTTTGGTGCTATTGCAGTTCCTTACAGCTGGTTTTGCTCACTATTCACATTTTCCCCATGGATACTCTTACACTTTCAACTTTTAGAAGTGAATGTTCATACACTGTGTGGGTCCTTTCTTGTGTGCTGTACAGTGAACCTAGCACAAAGAAGAATGGCTTAAGTATATGATCCGGATGTTAGACAAATGCATACTTGCCATCTTTGCTGCATTTTGAAGCACATATTACACAATCTCAGTCTGCCTTTGGTTCTATTTAACAGCTATTAACACTGTACTACATCGTTTTAAAGTTTATTTCTGGCTTTTTATTGCAACTGGGATGATCTTTATGTCTTGAGTCTGCTGGAAATATATACTCTTGGCATACACTCCTTTCTTTGCTCATTGCTCCCAGGAATTCCCACCTAGTGGGACCACAGCATAGCATCTCAGAGTGCTTCATGCAGACAATCAATTAGTAATTACTAACTGAACAGTTAGATTTACATTAACCTCATGGTTCTAATGTGCATCTGAAACTTGAATTGTCTTGCCAACTTAAACCTTAACTTTTTTTTTATAATTGGTTTTTTTAATCTGCCTTATTCTCTTCTACCATTGTACTTGAATATATAACTTGGAAAAAAGAATTCATATTTTTCTTTCAGTGAAACTGATGGTCCGTATCAAGAGAATACAAGAGACCTGCCGTCAACTTTTATAAAATCAGCAAACATGTGCATGTACGAACTTCAGTAAGAGAAACTGGTGAAGTTTGTGAGGTTCAAATTCAGAACCCAGTGACTCTGTAAGTCCCAAAAGAAAAAAAAGAGGATTTAGAAACCTTATCTGGTCAGGACTCTGGTAACAATCCTGACTTATCTCCCTTCCATCAACATAATATCTGAATGGGGAGCATCCAGTCATTCTTTGCAGCAGCATTCTGCAGTTGTTTGCCGTTTGCATCCTTCAGAGTGATTTTTGGAGTTAGAACTTCTTTATATCTCCCTTTTAAAATCTTAAATCACAAATACACAGACACATTCCTCCATCAAAATGTTTGCTAACAAACAATGCCCCTTCAGATCTCCAAAGTATTAAAGTTATGTAACCAAAGCAGTTTCACCCACTCTCCCGCCTTCCCTCTCTTGCCCTCTTAGCCTGGAGACAAGGTTGGCTGAAATGGCGATGTAGAAAAGGATTTTTTTTCCTGCAGCGCAAGTTTGTCATATTCCTATGTTACATGCTGGAAGAAGGACAAGCTAACTCTGATACATGGAGAGCACTATATCTTCCTAATCATCACCTTGCAACTCAAACAGAAACAATGAAGTGTATGACTAGATGGCAAAAGTGGCTGTAAGGACTGGTGGATGGGACCCAACCCCTTGGTGATAAGTTCATTACTTCAAGATTAAAAGAATGCATGCAAATAATTGAAATACTATGCTACCATGGACAATTTCTACTTGAAGGGCAGACCATATATAAAATGCACCACAACATGATTAGCTGTGCTGCTAATCATTATGCATACAATTTCCTGCCTTGCAAGATCAGAAAAAAAAGATGAAGACATAGATACAGTGGGGCAAAAAAGTATTTAGTCAGCTACCAATTGTGCAAGTTCTCCCACTTAAAAAGATGAGAGAGGCCTGTAATTTTCATCATAGGTATACCTCAACTATGAGAGACAAAATGGGAAAAAAAATCCAGAAAATCACATTGTCTGATTTTTAAAGAATTTATTTGCAAATCATGGTGGAAAATAAGTATTTGGTCAATATCAAAAGTTCATCTCAATACTTTGTTATATATCCTTTGTTGGCAATGACAGAGGTCAAACGTAAGTTCTCCCACTTAAAAAGATGAGAGAGGCCTGTAATTTTCATCATAGGTATACCTCAACTATGAGAGACAAAATGGGAAAAAAAATCCAGAAAATCACATTGTCTGATTTTTAAAGAATTTATTTGCAAATCATGGTGGAAAATAAGTATTTGGTCAATATCAAAAGTTCATCTCAATACTTTGTTATATATCCTTTGTTGGCAATGACAGAGGTCAAACGTAAGTTCTCCCACTTAAAAAGATGAGAGAGGCCTGTAATTTTCATCATAGGTATACCTCAACTATGAGAGACAAAATGGGAAAAAAAATCCAGAAAATCACATTGTCTGATTTTTAAAGAATTTATTTGCAAATCATGGTGGAAAATAAGTATTTGGTCAATATCAAAAGTTCATCTCAATACTTTGTTATATATCCTTTGTTGGCAATGACAGAGGTCAAACGTAAGTTCTCCCACTTAAAAAGATGAGAGAGGCCTGTAATTTTCATCATAGGTATACCTCAACTATGAGAGACAAAATGGGAAAAAAAATCCAGAAAATCACATTGTCTGATTTTTAAAGAATTTATTTGCAAATCATGGTGGAAAATAAGTATTTGGTCAATATCAAAAGTTCATCTCAATACTTTGTTATATATCCTTTGTTGGCAATGACAGAGGTCAAACGTAAGTTCTCCCACTTAAAAAGATGAGAGAGGCCTGTAATTTTCATCATAGGTATACCTCAACTATGAGAGACAAAATGGGAAAAAAAATCCAGAAAATCACATTGTCTGATTTTTAAAGAATTTATTTGCAAATCATGGTGGAAAATAAGTATTTGGTCAATATCAAAAGTTCATCTCAATACTTTGTTATATATCCTTTGTTGGCAATGACAGAGGTCAAACGTGAGGTATACCTATGATGAAAATTACAGGACTCTCTCATCTTTTTAAGTGGGAGAACTTGCACAACTGGTGGCTGACTAAATATTTTTTTGCCCCACTGTAAATCTGTACTACATAATATTGGTACTTAGTTAGATCAGTCACAAACTCATTCAGTTAGGAAGTCTATTTGCCTGTTCCACAACAGTGAAATAAAATAACCTGCCAATATCAAAAGCTTGTGAGAATATAAGTGGAATATGAACCAAAAAGCACTTTGAATATAACAAGCTAAAGGTGAATAAAGTTGGATGGCCTCTAAATTGCATAAACAAAGTATTTGCCCAAATTACTGGATGCCTTTAGCTAGTAGAAACTTGGCTAAGGTAAAATTACTTGTGGGTGTATATGCTCTCTATTAATATAAATAAGTTAAATTAAAAATATATTTTAAAATTTATTTAGCGCATTTATGCCCAAGTCTAAAATCAGAAAGGTTCCTATAGTAGCTTAGAGAAAAAATAATCACATCCTCAGAATATCAACAAGAGTTACATTCCAAATGTGACAAACTACAAATGAACATAAGAAACAGACATGAACTATTACAGCGAGCACAACTCAAGTTTTGTAATTTATTTGAAGTATATTTTTGCATGTGGAATGCATTATAAGTACAGAATATTATTTCATAAAAATTATGAATAAATGAGTTGAAATGTAAGTATATGCACAGGTGAAGATGTTATCGGCTACCGTGATCTCTTCTTCAAACTTTGTCAAAATGATCTTTTTCTGTCCTATTTCTGTCCAAGTTGGGAAAGCTAAAGATAAAAATATAAGAATAATATTAGTTTGCTGATTATTTTCTAACGTATAAAGGACATTTGACTAGACTCCAGTGCTTGATTATTACCAAAATGGAACACACAGAAACGATTAAAATTCAAGACAACTGATTTTCTCAAGGGGTAAAGATCCTTCTCATGGGAGGAAAGACCATGAGGGAAGGTACTGACACAAAACTTAACAGCTTCCTTTTTTATTTGTTTGTGCACCTCGGCAGTAAAACCTTTTCACATTCTCCAGTACTTGTCCTTTATCTCAATCTGACACTTTCTATTTCTTCCATCTGGCCAAATTACCTGGGATTCCCCTCCCATTTCCAGGACTAAACGGTATACTGCGTCCATGCATGCATTCATGGCACACACCATGTGATAAATAGGATTCTGTCAAATCCTATGGGATGCCTCCCACTAAAACCCACACAAAAAAGGCACCCGCTCCCAAACAATTAAATAGAATATGGAATAATTATACCACATGTTCATGTGTTTGCAAAATAATTATTGAATCTACATATAAAATAATTACTTTGCTATGATACTACTGTACACAGATTTAATGTACATCAAAAATAAAAGGTTCGGCAATATTAAGCAAGTTGAGCAGCTAAACATTCTGGGCATCAGGAGAAGAAATTATTCTACTCTGCTATCGATTTATACGTACTACCTGTGGTAGTAAGGTCACTTTGACAAGTTCATCAGAATTAGATTTAGGTATATTAAGATGCTCCACAATGTCAAGGGCCTTCCCTATTGCACTGAATGAACAGACTGCTGTAGTGAAAGCAAAGAGAAGCAGTATGAGTGAAAGAAAGCCTCAGAGACATCTGTGTGGAATGATTGGTTTCCAGAATAGGTGCTGACAAGAGACTAATTAATTGATTTAAACACAATGACATACTTGCTTATATAAAATAGGAACACGTCTCCTCTCTCCTTTGTATCTGTTAGTATTTCAAGTCAATCTTGAATCTTTTAGGAGTGAGACTAAGATAAAACATATTAAATGCTAGAATACACTGATGAACATGTGTCATATGACTGCAAACTAATGTTTTAATTTAAATCCTTACCTGTTTTAAAAACTGTGCAGCATTAAAGAGTTCACTGCAGCCATATAAGACATGTTTACCTTGTTTGCCCTATGAAAAACATAATTTCATTAAGATATTGTTCATTGTTTTAAACTAAAACAGCATGATATACAATATCAATTCAACAACCTGGGGAACTGCAGTGTAGAATCAACAAGTCCAGTTCATTTTCAATAAGTTTAGATACAATCTGTACTCTTACCTGTTTCAGACAGGTAGTAAAGCAGTGTGTGTGTGTGGGGGTGTGTGTGTGTGAGTTAATGTGTCTATGTAAGAGAAATATGTCTACTCTTTATACAGCATACAGCTCATCACATCATCCACAGTAGTTGGATAGCATATGGATTATATAAAATTAATGTAAAGCAGAAACAAATTATATATATATACACACACACGCAGACACACACACATACACTTTATAATTCATTGAGCACCTGTGTTAAGTGAAGAGGAAGTTCTAGCAGTGAGAAATACGTTTTCAGAGGGGAAATAACTAAAAGTGGAATGCTTTGGGAATCAGTTTTTGAGCCTATTGCATTTAGTTTTAATTACAACTCAATTAAAGAAAATACAATTCAATGCTACAATTACAGAGGGGCATTTTTTGAACTTTAGGAACTGGAATTAAAAAAGGAACACTAATATAATATAGCAAAGTGTTTGGCTGTATGTGTTTTGAAAACACCTCCCTCTGAGCCTGTGGTTTGCTGTATTGGTTTATACTATCAATACAATTAGTAATATTTCATCAATACAATTATTATATATATTATTAAATTATATATATCTTATAAATTATAAGATGGTTATTACCAACAGTATAATGATAAAAATTATCCTGAACTTTAAATTATCTTTGTAAAAAATAATGATGAAGTCAAACTCAGAACATCAATTTTGATCACCCATGAAGTACAGAAAGGGGAAAAGAAGAACTGAAGTAATTACGAAAAAGCAGAGGTATCATAAATGTTAAATGCCTGACTATTTTAGAATAAATAGAGCTTTGATGATATGCAGTATTCTACAAATAAATAAATGTTATGCATAGTATGGAAATATTAAGGAGGCTTGAGGGTAAAAAAACTTGTCATACATACAGTCATATATACAATATCAAAAGTTCATCTCAATACTTTGTTATATATCCTTTGTTGGCAACCTTGATCTGGGGCTCCATAGCATAGTGTGTTACTGATGGTAGCCTTTGTTACTTTGGTCCCAGCTCTCTGCAGGTCATTCACTAGGTCCCCCCGTGTGGTTCTGGGATTTTTGCTCACCATTCTTGTGATCATTTTGACCCCACAGGGTGAGATCTTGCATGGAGCCCCAGATCAAGAGCATAGTGTGTTACTGATGGTAGCCTTTGTTACTTTGGTCCCAGCTCTCTGCAGGTCATTCACTAGGTCCCCCCGTGTGGTTCTGGGATTTTTGCTCACCATTCTTGTGATCATTTTGACCCCACAGGGTGAGATCTTGCATGGAGCCCCAGATCAAGAGCATAGTGTGTTACTGATGGTAGCCTTTGTTACTTTGGTCCCAGCTCTCTGCAGGTCATTCACTAGGTCCCCCCGTGTGGTTCTGGGATTTTTGCTCACCATTCTTGTGATCATTTTGACCCCACAGGGTGAGATCTTGCATGGAGCCCCAGATCAAGAGCATAGTGTGTTACTGATGGTAGCCTTTGTTACTTTGGTCCCAGCTCTCTGCAGGTCATTCACTAGGTCCCCCCGTGTGGTTCTGGGATTTTTGCTCACCATTCTTGTGATCATTTTGACCCCACAGGGTGAGATCTTGCATGGAGCCCCAGATCAAGAGCATTTGGATGATCCAGAAGAGGATTGGGAGAATGTCCTTGATCTGGGGCTCCATATTTTGTGTCTCATAGTTGAGGTATACCTATGATGAAAATTACAGGCCTCTCTCATCTTTTTAAGTGGGAGAACTTACACAATTGTTGGCTGACTAAATACTTTTTTGCCCCACTGTAGAAGCAATTTCCTAGTTAACATTTATTTTAACTTCACTTGTTTAATATGATCTTATCCTTGGGAAACAATGAGGGTGGATAAAACAAGCAATGTTATTTCTATGGGCAGATTTTATTTGCCTACTTACAGATTACTACTTAATACAGGAAATATATTAAGTATATTCTAGACCATAGTAAGACCATAACTGAATATTTTGATGGAAAAGTTAAAGGATGAGTTTAGAAGCCTGAAAACTGTGTAACTACCCCACACCATTATTTCTATTTGCACATATCAATATGCACATTTTAAATTTTTGTTCAGTAAAGAGAGAAGCTTTGCACATATTTTTTACATGTTCAGTTGAAAAGAATGGGGCTCACCAAGCCCACCTACTATTGGAGGTAATGTGTCAAGGGAAATAAAAACAGAGATGTAATCATGAGCAATTATTTGAAGAAAAGGCACGTACCTTTATGTAATCAGCAAGGTTTTGGTATTCAATGTAATTGCCACCTCCAACTACGAATACAATTGCCTAAGATTCAGAGGAAAAAAACCATTTTCTATATACATTAGTATACACAGAATTTAGAACATATGTAAGGTGCAAAATAGTTTATTCTATACTAATGGAAAAAAGGTTTTTGATACTTGGATAAATTCCAGGTTATTAGAGAATAGAAGATCATTTATTTGGCAGTAACATTAAGCTAGCTTTTTGTAATGGTATGTGGGAACGACCTTGGGAAACAAGAAGGAGAGCTGCAGATGGGACAACTGGCATGTAAAAGATGTCTCATTCCCACAGAAGGGGGGATGGTGTGGGAAACATTTCAGAAGGGTCCCTCCCTAGTTTTCTGGAGAGTAAAAGGAAAGGAGGGGAGAAATACTTTCAGTCTTGCAA